ATTGTGTTGATGTAATCATCACCTGGCTGTCGATACACAGCTTTATTAGTTAGAGAAGTTTAATAATTGTTGTGTTGATGTAATCATCACCTGGCTGTTGATACACAGTTTCATTAGTTAGAGAAGTTTAATAATTATTGTGTTGATGTAATCATCACGTGGCTGTTGATACACAGTTTCATTAGTTAGAGAAGTTTAATAATTATTGTGTTGATGTAATCATCACCTGGCTGTTGATACACAGTTTCATTAGTTAGAGAAGTTTAATAATTATTGTGTTGATGAAATCATCATATAGCTGTCAATACACAGCTTTGTTAGTTAGAGAAGTAATTGTTGTGTTGATGTAATCATCACCTGGCTGTCGATACACAGCTTTATTAGTTAGTGAAGTTTAATAATTATTGTGTTGATGAAATCATCACATAGCTGTCAATACACAGCTTTATTAGTTAGTGAAGTTGAATAATTATTGTGTTGATGTAATCATCACGTAGCTGTCAATACACAGCTTTATTAGTTAGTGAAGTTTAATAATTATTGTGTTGATGAAATCATCATATAGCTGTCAATACACAGCTTTGTTAGTTAGAGAAGTAATTGTTGTGTTGATGTAATCATCACCTGGCTGTCAATACATAAGAAATTTCCATATTTTCACTACTTTTTGTATTTTCTGGTATTTAGAAGTTCTAGATTCTTAGATTACCCATATGAACAGCAGGTGTTTATAAAATTGAAACAACAGTTTCAGAAATAACTGTACATAAAAAGCAAATGATACATGTACCTCAGCTGTTTATAGCATGGAAACAACAGTTTTCAGAAATAACTGTACATTAAAAGCAAATGATAAATGTATCTCAGCTGTTTATAACATGAAAACAACAGTTTCAGAAATAACTGTACGTTAAAAGCAAATGATACATGTACCTCAGCTGTTTATAACATGGAAACAACAGTTTTCATAAATAACTGTACATTAAAAGCAAATGATAAATGTACTTCAGCTGTTTATAACATGAAAACAACAGTTTTAGAAATAACTGTACATTAAAAAGCAAATGATAAATGTACTTCAGCTGTTTATAACATGGAAACAACAGTTTCAGAAATAACTGTACATTAAAAGCAAATGATAAATGTACTTCAGCTGTTTATAACATGGAAACAACAGTTTTCAGAAATAACTGTACATTAAAAGCAAATGATACATGTACCTCAGCTGTTTATAACATGAAAACAACAGTTTTCAGAAATAACTGTACATTAAAAGCAAATGATAAATGTACCTCAGCTATTTTAATTAATTTCTGGTCTAAAGAATAGCATCATACAATTATGTTCCAGCCCATAATTCAGTATTAATTTTTTTCAGAGAAAGTAACAACTTACTGGCAATATAACTGTCATCATGAATAGTTAATTATCAAATGGTCTTGAAGCAGTTGCTTAAATAGCAACAAAACTATAATTACATTACAGTAAATGCCTAGCTGGGGATAAAATGGTTGTCAGCATAGCTGAGAAGTGAAATAATGGCCATTACATTAATAAAACAACCAAAATAAAATATGAACAATAAAATTTAAATTATATGGCTTTAGGGATATAGCTATTCTTGCTTGAAAGTTTGGGGTAGATATTGGTTATAAACAATAGTTGTTGGGCACTGTATTTCTTAGCCTTTACCACTTTGTGTTACTTAATATATATACAAGTTAAGGAAAAGCTTTTCATTAGGCTGCTCTGTGTATGCTTTCTGTCTCCTCCTGTTACCAGCATTTTATGATATAGAAATTCTGAGGTTGTTTGTAGAACACGAAACCCTGCATGAGTGTTAACCTAAACCTGTAAAACTATAAACAACCCTAACCAACAACAAAAGGAAAAGTTCAATGTTTATACCATAAATTAGTTAGAAATTATATGTTGTGAAGTTGTGCCATTAATTGCACATTAACACCTTGTTACATAGTCAACAGTTGTTTGTGAAGGATGCGAGTGAAGTACTTTTGGGGAGAATATAAAAGAAATTGTTAGGCAAGTTGTTATATAGTTACAGTACAATGTTACATAGTCAACAGTTGTTTGTGAAGGATGCGAGTGAAGTACTTTTGGGGAGAATATAAAAGAAATTGTTAGTAAAGTTGTATAGTTACAGTACAATGTTACATAGTCAACAGTTGTTTGTGAAGGATGCGAGTGAAGTACTTTTGGGGAGAATATAAAAGAAATTGTTAGGCAAGTTGTTGTATAGTTACAGTACAAATTGTTAATAAAGTTGTTGTATAGTTACAGTAGAAATTGTTAATAAAGTTGTTGTATAGTTACAGTACAAATTGACATTTTTTAATGTAATTGTGCTTCATTAACTTCTCAAAAGTGGCTTAGAATCCACCATTTTAACTATATGACAGTGAAATTTCTATTGTCAGTGGGGAGGCCAGGCTCTCTTTCACCCTCACTCCCTGCCTAGTTTTCTACTTTGGAAACTTGACCACTGTCATCTGTGTTATTATTTCAATGAAATCTGAAATCATTACAGTTAATACATAGCTGCGTAAATTGAAGATGCTGAAAAATTATTGTGTAGATGGAATTGTCCAGCTTTACTGTCACATGGCTTCATGTCAGTACACAGTTTTACTGTCACACGGCTTGATGTCAGTACATAGTTTTACTGCAACATGACATGATATCAGTACATAGTTTTACTGTCACATGGCTTGATGTCAGTACATAGTTTTACTGTCACATGGCTTGATGTCAGTACATAGTTTTACTGTCACATGGCTGGATGTCGGTATATAGTTTTACTGTCACATGGCCGGATGTCAGTACACAGTTTTACTGTCACACAGCTGGATATAAATACACAGTTTTACTGTCACACGGCTGGATGTCGGTACATAGTTTTACTGTCACACGGCTGGATGTCGGAACACAGTTTTACTGTCACATGGCTTGATGTCAGTACACAGTTTTACTGTCACATGGCTTCATGTCGCTACATAGTTTTACTGTCACATGGCTGGATGTCGGTACACAGTTTTACTGTCACATGGCTTCATGTTGGTACATAGTTTTACTGTCACATGGCTTCATGTCGGTACATAGTTTTACTGTCACACGGCTGGATGTCGGTACACAGTTTTACTGTCACATGGCTTCATGTTGGTACATAGTTTTACTGTCACATGGCTTCATGTCAGTACACAGTTTTACTGTCACACGGCTGGATATAAATACACAGTTTTACTGGTTATAGAATCTAAATAATTATTACCATGATGAAATAAGATATATAAAAATAAATAAATTAAGTATTTTTTCATTTATGATACAACAGAATTTAAGGTAGTTGCTTTGATGTTTACAGTTGTCTCTTGGAGGTACTGAAGAGTTACGTAAGTTAAAAACGAAATATCGGGAAGAAGCTGGATTGTCTCCAGTTCCAGATGATACCATAGAGGTCACAAGGACCATGCGGGCTGCCTCACCTCCTGCTTCAGCAGCAGATTTAATTGAAGCTCAACAGCAAAGGAGAAACAACAGACCATTTAAAAGGGTAAGTTACCTGTGCTCAAAATTGATGACTTATAAAATTTGTGAGACAAAAACTTTTAGGCCCGGCATGGCCAGGTGGTTAGAGTGCTCGACTCGCAATCTGCGGGTCGCGAGTTCGAATCCCTGTTCCACCAAACATGCTCGTCCTTTCAGCCATGGGGACAATATAATGTGACGGTCAATCCCACTATTTGTTGGTAAAAGAGTAGCCCAAGAGTTTGCAGTAGGTGGTGATGACTAGTTGCCTTCCCTCTAGTCTTGCACTGCTAAATTAGGGATGGCTAGTGCAGATAGCCCTGGTGAAGCTTTGCGCGAAATTCAAAAACAAACAAACAAACAAAAATAATATAACTAGTTTTGCATATAAATAACTAAACTTAAATACTTTTTGGTAGTGATACGTGCAAGTCCATAGATACTGTCAAATTATACTAGTAATAATTACACTTTTGTTGTATCTTACAGGAAATAATAGTATTTAAAAGTGTGATGATTTTTTTTATGAGGGTGAATGACATCATTAAATTTTTAACTAAATGTTCATAGTGTACAATTGGAAGTGAAATATCAGACATATTTCGGAATAACATAAACAAAAAGTAGTTTAATAAAATTCTGAATGTAAGACACTAAAATCTTGTGTCATGAGCAGTAAAAGATAGCCAGAGCAACAGAAATTAGAATAGCATAAAATCTTAGCTAATAATCCATATTTTAATAGTATACAAGTTTTAAGTTCTTAATTCTACAAGGCAATATTTTAAAAAAATCCTGAATTTCCACAAGTATGACCTATGTGACTCATTTTGTCTTAGCATGTCATTCATCCCTATTTTATCCACACCCCTCAAAAACGTACAAAATTAAAT